AGCTAAGAACAGGAAGCTGAGACTACAACTCAAACAGCCTCCTCTGAATTGGACAACAGGTGACTGAAAAACATTGCCTGGTCTGATTTCCGCTTTGATTCAGATGGTAAGGTCAGAATTAGCCAGACACAGCATGAAAGAGTGGATCCTCTATGGTGGTTTAATGGTGTGGGGAATATTTTTGACAGACTTTTAATACCATCTGGGCATCATTTAAACACCACAGCCAACCTGAGTATCGTTGCTTTTATGCTTTCATGACCACAGTGAACTCTTCTTCAGATGGCACAAACCTCAAACCATCACAAACTGGTTTCTTTAGCATGACAATGTGTTCACTGTACACAAATAAGCCCCGCAGTCCCCAGATCTCAATCCAATAGAGCACCTTTGGGATGTGATGGACTGAGAAACTCTCATCATGGATGTGCAACTGATAAACTCTGCAACAACTGTGTGATGTTTACATATCAATATGGACCAAAATGCTTCCATCACCTTGTTGAATCTACGCTTGAAGAATTAAAGCAGTTCTGAAGGCAAAAGGGACTCTAACCTGGTACTAGCAAGGTGTACCTAACGAAACAACCAGTGAATGTACGTCTGCATATGTTTGGCCATATCCTGTGTGTCTCCATAGTAAACATTTCTATTGTTATTTCTCATTGGTGTTGTTTATGGAGCAGTCAATCAGGTTAAATTGTGCCAATTATAAAAATTCATAATAGCTTTTTGAAAACTATTTTGATCAGGCGAAAAATAATGCCAGGAATGGTTTCTATTTATTAAAAAGTGCAGTGCAGTTAATGAATAAAAATCCTGCTTGGTTTGACCACCTATTGCCAACAACAGAGAACACACTGGCACTTGCACAGTTTTTCAAGCTACTTGACAGGTCAGTTGTTACAAGATGGCAACACCATCTATCAGAGAAAACACAAGGCTGCTGCTTCACCAGCTGACTAAACTGCATTCACTCAGTGTAAGAGGATTAAAAAAAGAAAAGTTACATTTAGGTCAATTTCTTGGGGGGGGAGGCAAGATCAAGTAGTGCTAAAGGAAACTACTTTAGCACTCATCCAGGTTATGTTCACATACCTTTTGATGTCTCACTGTTTCTATAATGTGTTCAGAGAAAACTGATCTCAGAGACAGAGAAATGTGTTTTTATTTGGCTTAAGTGGCTTAATTGCATAACTCAGAGACTTACAAAGTCATAAAAGCACTCATGCACTCACCAAGATTTTCGAGACCCTTTACTCACCTGATTTGTTCTGTCCCGAGGTGGAAATTGAGCGCCTGAACAAGAACATCTTCAGTGAACGGCAGCTTGTCATTCTTGCGTTGCAGGTCAAAGTGTGCGGAGTTAGAGAGGGCGTGGACACCCGTGTCCGTCCTGCTGGAAACTGACAGGGATACAGGATTGACTGGCCTCAGTCGCTGGATTGCATCCTACACAAAGACAAAAAGATCTTTTTAGATATTAATAGCTTTGGGTTGATAGCCTGGAAAACAAATAACTTTTTTTAAAGCTCACTTTCAAACTTCTGAAGCCACTCAAAGCCTTGTCTGCCTCAAATAGTTATCAAACAGAGCTGTGAACAGAGGCATGATGTGACAAGAAAGACTGATCTTTTTTTGCCCTGTAATCTGTGTTTCCTTCTCTCTGTGCTTATTTTTGGGCTTTTTATGCCTTTATTAGAAACAGTAGACAGTAGAGAGCTGACAAGAAAACAAGGAACAGACAGTGATCAAGAAAGACATGCAACAATCCACGAAGCAGCTGGATGTGAAACAGGAACCTTGTTTATGCGTCATATCATAAGTTTGGTGATTGTAGTGCTCAACCCAGGTGTGGAGTGCCACACCAATAAGCTGAACTTCATTATTCACCCTCTGGAGTCAATGGGCGTGTTGGCACGTCCAAAACAAATGACTGATTTTTGACAACTTAGAAGCACGATGGAGCCTCGCTTAGTCCATGTTTGGAAAGAGCAGAAAGTACGGACTTCAAACTGTATGCCAGGTTTTATTCCTAACAGTGCAGTTATGTGGATTTTTATGACAGTTTGATGCATATAAGTCCTACACCACAAAAACAGATTAAAGCCAACAAATTAACAGTGTTTCTGTTGTGAACACATCTTACTGTAAATAACACAGAAGCTATTTAGATATTTAATGATGTGATAACTATGAAAAATAACACATGCAAAAGCAAAAATGTTCTGAATCCCATTTAATGGTATATTTTAGATCATCTCTAAAGATATTTGGGATTCAGGCATTTAGGGTTTGCGCTTATGATCCCAAGGGGTGGATGTAGCTCAGGAGGTAGAGCGGGTCATCTACCAATCTACCAATTGCCTTACCTTTTGCAAGATATTAACCCTAAGTTGCTCTTAGATGCATCCATCGGAGTGTGAATGTTACATAGAAAGGGTGTGAAAGGGAGAATGAGGCGTGTTGTATAAAGTGCTTTGACTGCTCAGGTAGAGTAGAAAAGGACCAGTCCATGACTTAGACCTCAGAGAGTTAGTTTTATTTCTTTATAAGGTTACTGGTGTGGCCCTTAACATTAGTCCCATTTTCTCATGTGGATCCTTGCTGCCTTTGAATCATTTATTGAAACCGCCTTTAATCATCAGACAGCAGTCTGATCATTCTCACTTTTTAGATTTTCAAAAGGCATCGACATAAAGTTGAGATTGTAAAGTTTTTTTTTATATATACGACAAACAAGCCCAGAAAAAAGGATCCAAGTCAAAGATTAATGAAATGCTTATGCATTACACCATATGACGCTGCTTTTGATGAGTGGATCAGAGACCTAGAGGATTTAAGGCCTATAATGAATTACTAAGCTAAGCAGACTCATAAAGTCATGACACAGCTTTTTAAGCCTAACTACATTTAATACTAGCAGCTCAAAGGCAACTTGTCACCTGATTAGCTTTAAGTGAGTTAAAACATACCTCCAAGTGGTCCTGGACCCCTTTCTTCCCCAGCTGATGTGGAGGGACTTTCACTGCTCCACTGCAATAATGATAACAGTAGTGGTATATTCAAAAATAATAATAATAAGATATAACATCTCAGTGTGCCCTGTAACCTACCGGTATTTTGTTCCGATGTACTGAAAAAATATGAGGTAACGAGCCCGGTTGTGCATGTTGACTCGAAATGTCACTGTGCATGTTCCTCGTTTACGAGAGTGGAAAAACTGCAATGCAGAATCATTTCATGGATCCAGCTGTGACTGATGTCCCTGCAGACTGAACCTCTGGTGAAACGTTCCTGTGCTAGCCAGACACGACCCCTCACCTCCAAGTACCACCGAGAACCCTCTGAAGTGTAGTCCGGAAGTACACTGGAGACAACAGCTGTTAGAATTCTTCTGTTGACATATGAGAGCGCACGTTACTGTGTCACGAGGCCGTAGTACAGTGCAGACCCGATAAAAGAGCTGTTACAAGCGCCGCGTGATAACTAGCAGTGAGATGGCACGTGCACTGTATGACGCTATCCAAGCTGTGACACCTATGTTCAGTGCACGTTACTACACATCAACATTTCTGGATGTTTGCCTCCTTCCACATTGTAGTACGTCGCATTTTGATTACGTCGCTCCAGCCGCAGAGCCTTCTTGCTCCAGTCATTGAAGCCAGATACTGTACTCACGTTTAAGATTGGTCGACAGCAGGTAGTCAATGTACCGCTAACAAGAGCAAGCGGTCAAGCGGAGTCAAGCAAAAAAGAAAAAAGTTTAATGTTTAAGATAGATTGGCCATAATTAGTTATATCAAATCTACAATATTATTTTTTGAAGTTGTCCACTTTTTTAGGTGATTTGTAGGTGTCTAATTTATGATAAGGTTAATAAGGTTAGTAAATTTAAGCTCATTCAAAGGCTCACATGTTTACAAACCACTGTTGCTATTTTCTTTAAGTCTATTCTCTGTGCCCCCCAGAGAATACACATACCTACACATTTTCCACATAGATGATGTTTAAGCTGATGCTAATCATGAGTGAAATTTCACATGCTTAAGCCAGTTTTTGTGTTTACAAACACTGTATAGACAAAAGTACAGGACCACCTACACATTACACCCACAGTAGCTTTTAATTCAGTTCAATTCGGTTTTATTTGTATAGCGCAAAATCACAACAGCAGTTGCCTCAAGGTGATTTGCGCTGTTAAGGTAAAGACTCTACAATAATATAGACAAATCCCAACAATGATGGGCATACGGAAAGGAAAAAATCACTTTTAACAGGAAGAAACCTCCTGGAGAACCAACAACCAGCCTAAGAGCACAGAGAAAGAAAGAGAGACACTTTAATGATCAAACACAAATTGATGTATAAATACAGAGAATGAAAACATGCCAGTGAAGAAAAAACTTTCAAAGCATCATGGGAAGCCCCCACCAGCTGTTACAGTCTATTGCAGCATATACAAGGTTCAGAGTTCACCCGATACAGTCCGAGCTAAAAGTTTAATACAAAAAGGGAAGTTTTAAGACTAATCTTAATATCACAGAGATTACCTGTCTCCTGAATCCTAACTGGGAGAATCCACAGGAGAGGGGCCTGGAAGCTGAAGGCTCAGCCTCCCATTCTACTTTTAAAAACTGCTACAACCATGAATAAGCATGCAGTTTGAAAGCAAAGTGCTCTGTTAGGATAAAATGGTACTATGGGGTATTTAATATCTATCTATCTATCTATCTATCTATCTATCTATCTATCTATCTATCTATCTATCTATCTATCTATCTATCTATCTATCTATCTATCTATCTATC